TGTGCTTGGCCGCATTCATCTTTCCCTCGATTGAAAGCAGTCGTCCTGTCCCTGCAGCTGAAAAACACCCCCACGGCATGATGCTGCCACCACCATGCTTCACTTTTGGGACTGTATTGGACAGGTGATGAGGAGTGCCTGGTTTTCTCCACACATACTGCTTAGAATTAAGGCCAAAAAGTTCTGTCTTGGTCTCATCAGACCAGAGAATTTTATTTCTCACCATCTTGGAGTCCTTATGTGGGCTTTCATGTGTCTTGCACTGAGTAGAGGCTTCCGTCGGGCCACTCTGCCCTAAAGCCCCGACTGGTGGGGGGCTGCAGTGATGGTTGACTTTCTACAATTTTCTCCCATCTCCCGACTGCATCTTTGGAGCTCAGCCACAGTGATCTTTGTGTTCTTCTTTACCTCTCTCACCAAGGTTCTTCTCCCCCGATAGCTCAGTTTGGTCGGACGGCCAGCTCTAGGAAGGGTTTTGGTCGTCCCAAACGTCTTCCATTTAAGGATTATGGAGGCCACTGTGCTCTTAGGAACCTTAAGTGCAGCAGAATTTTTTTTGTAACCTTGGCCAGATCTGTGCCTTGCCACAATTCTGTCTCTGAGCTCTTCAGGCAGTTCCTTTGACCTCATGATTCTCATTTGCTCTGACATGCACTGTGAGCTGTAAGGTCTTATATAGACAGGTGTGTGGCTTTCCTAATCAAGTCCAATCAGTATAATCAAACACAGCTGGACTCAAATGAAGGTGTAGAACCATCTCAAGGATGATCAGAAGAAATGGACAGCACCTGAGTTAAATATATGAGTGTCACAGCAAAGGGTCTGAATACTTAGGACCATGTGATATTTCAGTTTTTCTTTTTTAATAAATCTGCAAAAATGTCAACAATTCTGTGTTTTTCTGTCAATATGGGGTGCTGTGTGTACATTAATGAGGAAAAAAAATTAACTTAAATGATTTTAGCAAATGGCTGCAATATAACAAAGAGTGAAAAATTGAAGGGGGTCTGAATACTTTCCGTACCCACTGTATATGCTGTGAGTTCATGCTGCGCACCTGAAAGGTCAAGATCAGTTTCTTACTCGTCAGCTGAATAGTGTGAACATCCAATGAAAAGTCTTTTAAACTCGAACACTTTGTAATTTGGTCACTAAAGGAAGTGAAAATTCTCCCGGTTCTTCTCAAAGTATTTCTGATGCAAAACAACTAAAGCTGCGGTAAAACTTCAGCAACGTTTCTCTGTTTTACCTCAAGACTCTTTGAATTCTCAAACACCTTTGCTTTAATTTGATTCAGTTAACCAGTAAACACAAGGCCAATTTGAAATTCAATCATGAAAGAAAATTGCACTGTGATGACAAATGGAAACTCGCGTTACATGATAATCACAGCATTTAGCATTGCTTTGAATGTCTAAAATGATTCTTGCTAGTTTTATGATTAAAGTGAGAGTTCACTCAAAAAAAATAAAAAAAATGCTGTTATAATTTACTCACCCTTATGTCGTTCCAAACCTGTATGACTTTATTTCTACTTCTGTGGAACACGAAAGAAGATACTTTAGGAAATGTCTCAGTGTTTTTTTGTCCATGCAGTGAAACTACTACTAACATTCTTCAAATCTTATTTTGTGTTGCACTAAAAAAAAAAGAAAGTCATACAGGAGTGGTACGACACGAGAATGAGTAAGTGATGACAGAATTTACATTTCTGGGGAATATATCATTTTCAGTAACATCATATGTTGAACTGAATATCGCAGTTAATCAAAATCAATTTGATATACTCAGACCAACAGCACAGTCGTGAGTGCGATATTGCTCAAATATTCATTAAAACATGGATTTTGTTCAAAGATTATTTCTTAGAAACATGCATTTTTGACACAATATGGCAAGTTATTTTGTCTGTTTAGCTCCGAATGATGCAATGAAAACTGTTTTGGGTCTCTCAATTAGAATCAGTTTTGAGGAGCGGAACTAACTTTTGTGTAAATTAACATGTAACACAGAAACTTTTAATATAAATGATATGATTTGATTGTTAAAGCAACAAATGAGGATTTCCAGAAAGCGATTTCAGCGATTTCGACAGCCCTGATTACATCAGTCCCTTATTTCAATGACAAAGGACGTTATCAGTGTCAGCAGTCTTGGAGAATCAGTCTCTGTGGAAAGAGAACGGTTTTGAGCTCTTCATTCATGTCAGTTTCACTCACTGTCCAAAGAACAAAAGATCAGAGAATGAAAGATGCGAGCTTCCTTGTCTGAAACGCCAGTCAGTCTGCGAACTTACACAGTCCTGGGCCTCATCATCTTCTGTATCATTTCACTGATGACTGACGTCTTTTCACAGTCCTTCAGCGACTAACATCTGATTTGCACTTCTAGAAGAAACAGTCTGATATATCTGATTGATCACGAATGCAATGGTTTCTGTTTGTGCTAGACTTTGAATTAGATCATGTACAATACTAATGTGATCTCATTAATGTTTGCAGAATTCATAAGTAAAGTGTGTTTCTAGCACACATACATTAATGCATGTTCAGATAGACACTGAAACAAACATTCCTCATCATTTACTAACAAACGAGTGCCTTGCTATGGGATTGTGTCTGAATATTGAACTTTGGGTAACTTTTTATTTCAACGACCAATTCGCACTATTAACTAGCATGCATATTACTAGCATACTGGTTGTTTATAAAGCATATATAAATGCTTTATTCTGCTTGACCTTATTTTAGATCCGCTAATCCTACCTAAACTTAACAACTCCCTTACTAACTATAAATAAGCAGCAAATTAGAAGTTTATTGAGCCAAAAGTCGTAGTTAACATTTCGTTAATAGTGAGAATTGGACCTTAAAATAAAGTGTGACCGAACTTGTTTTATATTGAATAGATTTAATGTCTACCAAAACATATAAAAATGCAAATACACACACTAGATATTCCTCTATAGATCCCCAAAATCAAAACCACTCGAGTTGCAGCAAAGCGTGACCTTTGACCTTTGTGGTTTGCAGCCTGCTGGTGACCCGAAACTTTCACAGAAGACCGATTTATCGCTGCATGCATCGTTTAATATAACATGAACATCACTGCTGACGAATATTTATGGCAAAGCAACAAGTGCTAAGTGATTTTGTAGGGGTACCTTTAACAGATCAGCGGGAGTGTGTGCGTGTGTTGATAAGTACTTCCGTCTTGAGTTTGCAAGAGTAAATGCACCCTGCACGCTCCCCTTGCGTAAAGCATTTTTGTGTATACATAAACAAGGGATGACTGTCTTGAGTAGGAGGGAAGCCTACAAAAGGGAAGAGTTGGGCTAGAAAGAGAGAGAAAGAGAGAACAGCGGAGTGTGAAAGAGTTAAGGAGGGACACAACTTATTAATGAGTAACGCACACACATGTTGATTTCCAATTTCCTGCTTTAGCTCACATTTAAAAGACGAGAAAGAGCGGACGAAAAGACACAAGCAAGTGAACCGGAGAGCGAGTGAAGTTTTGGCACCTCGACTTCTGTAGCAGGTAAGCTGAACATCTCAGAATCTGTGATGCTTTCTTACGTCTGCAGTGTAAATCTCTGCTCATCTGATATGCAGTCTGGTTCACTCATCAGCACCAATATCCCTCATGGTATTTTGGGAACATTAAAATCATAAATCAGCACAGCAGATGATTGGTGGCGGATGGGAACTGCGGGTTCCTCTGGCTGGGCTGAACAATCGCTATTCTGTGCTGTAATTGAGCTTCGGAACAGAGTTGATGTGCATTCTAATAGACTCTGCATTAAACATTAAGCACACTCCAGAGATGAAACAAATGGATCTGGAGTGAACCGAGCAGCACTCAGCCGCTCATAAACAACAGATAAGCAGAGATTACCCGCAGCTAACTGCCCTGAGCACGCTGCAATGCGACGCCTGCATTTATCAACGCTTTTATTTACTGCTGTAATTAAGTACAAAGAAACATTCAGAATGTGTCGAGTTTAGTAAAATGATCGTGAATCAAAGCCTGCAGCGAAACCAGAGGCCTAACGAACAGTCAGGTGCAAGACTAAAATGACAGCTTAAGGCTTATTGATTAAAGTAATTTGCACTTCTATGCATAGATAGTAAAAAAAAAAAAAAAAAAATTTTTTTTTTTTTTTTTTTAGTTATATTTTAAGTTTGTACACCATCTTAAATGTGAGTTTTATCGTTTGCCTTTTTAACGGAATTTTGCAACCCAGTCTCATTGGAAAAACTGCAAGACTGATTGGGAAAAACGTACCTATACATATGTTTCACTGCAATTTCCTACTGAAATGAATACTAGAGACAATAAATCATCAACCACTTTTATTCCTTTTCACACAAATTATGATTTACAGCACCCGATTATCGATGCATTTGAGCAGTTCCTTCCACAATACTATGAACTCAAAACTTTTTATAATATATCTGAAATATTGATGCCATTCTGCATAGAATTAAGAGGTTGGCTAATGGCTAATAAACAATAACACACTCACTCATGCATTGCTTCTTGCACTAAGCACAGCTATAACTAGTTTCAAATGAACTCTCATAATGTCCCAGAGGAAAACAAAATACACTGAATTTGTTCTGTCTTTATCTGATATCTGTGATGTAACAACAAAGAGCATCAGCAACTAATAACATTGCAGCTGTAATGTGTTTCTCGAAGTTATTGGGAATGTTATTTGAAATGGCCCAGATTCAAAAGAATTGTTTACTGTTTGCAAAATGTGAAATCACCTCAGGTGGTCATGCACGTACAGTATGTGTACAGATTGGGCTATCTTATCTCATGCATAACAATAGGCAGTGTTTATCCCTAAATACTCCAGTCTGTTGGACAACATGTTCTCTGTCCCTGTTTGAAACGCTGTAGCCGAGAGATTCACTGTCAATGGTTTGCTCTTTTGTTATGCATTGGGTCTTGGTTTGGTCCTAACAAATATCCCTTCATTCTCTTCCCAGACAAACCCTCAAAATGACTCGTTCCTTGAGAGAGGTGGTGAAGGAGTACATGTCAGATCGGCGAGTTCGCAAATATCGCCTGGTGACCAAAGACGGCCGCTGCAACATCGAGTTCGGCAATGTTATGCACCGAAACCGCTTCGCCTACGTCCTCGACATATGGACCACCTTCGTAGAGACCCGATGGCGGTTTGTCATCTTGCACTTCGTGGCATCCTTCACCCTCAGCTGGTTTATCTTTGGCCTCCTCTGGTACTGGATCGCCAGAGACCACGGCGACTTGAAGTGGCAGAATCCACCCGAAAATCACACGGCGTGCGTCTATAGCGTCAACACCCTGACTTACGCCTTCCTCTTCTCGCTGGAGACCCAAAGCACCATTGGTTATGGAAATGTGTACATCACCGACGTCTGTCCGGGAGCCGTGGCTCTGATTATAATTCAGAGTCTTATGGGCACCATAATCAGCTGCTTCTGGTGCGGCGTGGTTATGGCAAAAATCGCTCTTCCCAAGAAGAGAGCCAAGACAATAACCTTCAGTGACTCCGCAGTTATCTGCCCTAAAAAGGGCACCCTTTGCCTTCAAATCCGTGTGGCCAACCTGCGCAAGACTTTGATGATCGGTAGCCAGATTTACGGCAAACTCCTGAGGACCACAGTCACCCCCGAAGGTGAGACCGTCATCTTGGACCAGGTCAGCATTGACTTCATGGTGGACGCCGGCAAGGACAACCTGTTTTTCGTGTGTCCATTGACACTATACCACGTCATCGACAAAACCAGCCCGTTCTTTGACATGGCGGTGGACACTCTGCATCAGCAGGAGTTTGAGCTCGTGGTGTTTCTCGATGGAACGGCTGAATCCACCAGCTCTACCTGCCAGGTCAGGACTTCCTACATCCCTCAGGAGATCATGTGGGGCTACGACTTCCTCCCGATCATCTCCCGCAGCAAAGAGGGAAAATACCGCGTGGACTTTTCCAACTTCGCCAAGGTGGTGCCCGTACCGACCGCTCATTGCGCCTACTGCTACCACAACGAGGCGGGACACCATCACCACTCCATCGATGGCATCGATAACCAGGGCTTTGAGGTGATCGACATCGAGACGCCCAACATCACCAAAATGTAAAGCTTTTTGCTTGACATGTACTGAGCAACGTCGTGAGGTCACTATCTTGCACTATACTAGAAACACTGGACACAAATGCTTTTTGTCTCTCATAGTGTGCACAAGAGGCAAGACGAGTGTTTTATCTTTTGGAATTCCTCCATCTACACACTGAAAAAGGAAGTGCAGTGGCAATACTGCAGTAATCCATTTCCATTAAACTTATTTATTATTTAAAAGAGCAGCTCGCATTCAAAACTCTTTGCCCTGACATGATTGGGAATATAAAAGTGTGAATTGTCCTTGAAGTAACAGTAGAACTGTCTTCTGTTACATGTTAATTGGGGGCGTGAGAGTATTAACTGAATATTCATTAATACGAGACTTTTATTATTGTCTGTACATATAAAAGTATTTCAAATACCAGTGATCAAGCTGATGCTTTTATGTCCCGAATCACTCTGGGATGGTGTATTTCTTTGTAAATTAGTAGATATTGTTAATATTGTATTATTGAATGTATACTGTAAATGTCATTTTTACTTTGTATATATCATTTTTTTAATATAAAATAAAATATTTAGAAATGGTGGTTTAGTTTGTTGAAAATGACATTCTAAAAATCAACCTGCATTTTCCAGCATTCACAGTAAAAAAAATGAACACATGAGGGAGTACAAGACAAAGCAATAGATAGCCAAATTGTCAGCTTGACAAAATTGTTGGTGTGTGTGTGCACATGTGTGTATTGATAATATATAATATAATCCATTGCCAGGTTC